AACACTTCTCCATTTGTCATTTTCTTTTCCCACGAGATCTTCAACATTCTTCTGTAGAACCACATTTCCACAGCTTTTAATTTCTTTTCCATTGCCTTGTTTATTGTCCAGGATTCACATCCATACGTAAGCACTGACCAGATATAGCATTTCAGCTAATATGATTTACACAAATCATATACAAAAAAAACAGATGAAACTATTTTAAAATTGTACATAAATTTATATTTAATAAAATATACCTAAGAAACATACCGCTATAAAAGAAATTTTTGATTGGATTACAACTTTTGTATATCATGATGCTATGAAAGAATATTTCTGATTGGATTACAACTCACAATTTTGTATGTCATGATACTATGAAGAATATTTCTTATTGGATTACAACTTGAAATATTAGAATCATGATGTTAAAGTTATATTTCCCTCAACAACGATTGCTGCTTTTCCCGCCAATTTAATTCTTGCTTCATTTATATTCAGCCGAACATTACCACCTCTTGCTGAACACTGTCTGGCTGAAATGAAGAACAACCAAGAACTAAGAATTTATCACAAGGGATAAAGTACATAAGCTTTTAAGAGGATTGGCAGTTTTTCAAATTCAGTATATGCTGCCCAACTCTGGAATAATCTTGTTGATGTTAATATGTTGTTAATGTTAATATTTTCAAAAGATCACTTAAAACCCATCTTTTTGCCTAATTCACTAGTCACTGTTTCTGTCTGTGTCATTCGTTGTCTTTTTATGTTGTTGTTTATCCGTAGACTGTATTCTGTGTGGTATGAGATAGTTTTTTCTGGAACTGATGTGGATCAGTTGCTTTTGATGATTTGAAATTTTGAGGACACTTGGCCTGCGCTTCGCAACCGAAAAGAAAGGTGCATTATAAATACTCAGTAACAGTATTATTGATAAAACTATAAATATTATTAATTATCTAATAACATATTATTTTACTTTCTTCATATAAACATATTTTGGGAATCGCATAAGGTCTCGATTTGATGTAAATTTATGAAACGTGATTTGCTTGGCACCTTGACCTCTGATGATTAGTGCCCAAAATTTATTATAAAAACAAAAAATATAATAAGCTTTTATCATTATCACATAAAATATAATTTGATACACCAGTAATTCTGAAAGGTCATAAGTTTTAGTCTGGTCACATTGCTTAAATCTCTTGCGCAAGAATCTTTATTTAACTTCATGTCTCTCCACTCAGGAGTATAAACAGATATTCTGGTAGTTGTAGAAGGTGAAATATATAACAGACAAAGTATTTGATATGTGTTTGCATCAGGGAATACTTTGCCCTACATGACATGTTATTCACCACTATTTACTAAGCATGAGTGTTTTACTCTACTCATTACTGGTAATATTTTTTATATATCTAAGCATAATAGTAATGAATCAGGTATTTTGGATTTTCATGTCACCATTCTACTTACCATAAAGTTTTGTCTTATTAAGTTGGGCTGACCAGTAACTTCCAAGCACAGTGTGAGCCGATCCTAGAAGACAGATAATAAAAAATACATTACTTTACAGGGTTTGAATTTCCCCACAGCACCGACAACAATTGATGTAGAAAGGGCCTTCCACTGCTGTTGTAAATCCCAGGCCTAGAAATTGATTACATGATTTCATTTATAGAATGGACCTATTCTTCATAAAATATGAAGCTTGTAGCTGTGCAAAGAAGAATAAATTGCTGTAGTACAGCCATAGCACACAGCAACTATTTTCTGATGGAGTATTTTGAGGAAATTCGGACCCTGCTTTAATATAAATTATAATGTTATAATTGGAACAATTAGGTAATACCTAATATGCAAACATTTGACATAATAGTTATGTTCAGACGGCCTTCAGTTACAGTAGACGTAAAATTCTATTCACGCATTATTTCCGACAAGTATGATGCTTATCCCATGTTAGAAACGTTGTAAGAAGCGGTTTGGCGCAGCGGGAAAGGTTTGGTTTCCCAAACTAGAGGTCGAGGTTTCAATCCCTTGCTGTGCATTTCGCTTGTGTCCTTGAGCAAGACACTTTATCTGCATTGCTTCTCTCCACCCAGGAGTATAAATGGGTACCTGGTGGGGTTGCCTGCTCCTGCGCTGATTACCAGCAGCAACACTTAGCATGTGGACCCAATGACCAGGGAAAGGAACAGCGCTTTATAACCACAAGGAAGAGGCGCATTATAAATGCCCGAACCAGTACCAGTACCACATTCTTTTTGTAAAGAGATATACAGTACACCACCTTTGTTGTCTCTCAACAGACATTTTGCACACAAATTCCTGAAATTATAAACAGTTATGAAAACAATGTGTCTACTAAGATTTACACACATCACAGAAAATCTTTATTTTTGGCACTCATTTGTAGGGAATTATCTTTTGAAAAAATATGAGGTCATATAAAGGTCATATGTACTTGCTAGCTCTGAAGTTAAGTGCATCTACTGTACACAGCGTCACTCCAAGCGCATATTCCTCACATTCCATGTGCATGTGGAAGTACCAAACTTACTCTGAGACGGCTCAGAACTAAATAATCTGTAGAGTACCGGGAACTACCAAGAGCTTGCTAAAAGTAAACTACTACTTTAAATTCTTCAAAAAAGCGCAGACAGATATTTGATCTTGTTTTTTTCTCTATAGGTGTTAATTCCTCATTCTCATGTAATATGTTCCCATATTTTTCTTTGAAATTTCCCCGTCCCAATAAATACGTACGCAAGATCTTTTTTATGTTCCAAAATGTAGAGGAAACGCAACTAATAATTATTTTATCAGTGGACTTTCCCCTTTCTATAATTCTGTTACAAACAATGAGCCATCAATTGATATTTTTACCAACCTCTTCATTCATTTTTAGCCCAAGTTAAACTTGCCATTTGATCATTCACCTGCTCTGGAATTGAATTTTGTTCAACTTTCCTACAATGTTCCTTGTATATAAAAGTAGCTATTGTAAATTAATTTTATCTGAATATTTTTGTATTGTTTATATTATTTTTGAATGTTTATTTGTGATTTTATTGATTTTATCGCTGTGATTTTGTATTGTATTTACTGTATTCTCCCTGTTATGGGCATTTTCGCTGTTTAGGGGTGAAATGAAATAAAATAAAAAAAAAATTTAAAATAATAAAAATTCCAAAGCTTACTTCCAACTCATCTCAACATGCACAATAACATATGAAAATCATCTGTCTTAACACACCTGTGACAGGGTCCTCTGGAAATCCATTCCACGGGTCAAAGTAACGTGACATGAAATCAAACATTTCGCCGCAATCATCCTTGGCACCATTTTCGGGACACCCACGTAACGTGACGATGACTCCTTTGATATGGCCATCTGGGAATGCCTTCATCATGCCCGTCGTGTCTGGTTTCAGACCCTCAAGAACATCTCTGATAACATTCAAAGAAAGAGTGCATGAAGAAGGTTTAAAGGAAGCTACTAATTCATTGACACTACTGTGGCCAAAATCGATTAAACAATGTTTGAATCAGACATAGGTATTTTTTTTTTTTTTTTTTTTTTAAGAACCAGAATCTATATAGCACTTATTACAATCCGCAGATTATACAAGGCGCTGGCATCATTATTTCCCTGGTCACTGGATAATGAGTTGGCAGAAACGCATACTGTGCCACTTCCTCTGCTCCTTGGGGAGTATCTCTGGTCACTGATGCTTGTACGCGCATGACCCATACATTCAATGCCATACCATTCTACCAGGTACCCATTTATACTTCAGGGTGGAGAGAGGCAAACGTAAGTAAAGTGCCTTGCCCAAGGACACAAGCAATGCGACGAGTGTTGGTCACAAACTCCCGATCTGACGATCAGAAGTCCAATAGCTTATACGCTGCATCACACACTCCTACATGCAAAACATTTAATTTTGTGCAGAGCCATAAATTTTTGATTAAACAATCATGTCTTCCTTTAATATATTTTTTTTTTATAAAGGGGGTGGAGGGGCGGGTGGAGATTACAGATCGACCGTCCCGAGGCAAAACAACATAACTGACATTTTTGTCATTTGAGATAATATCATTTGGGAGTATATTAAAAACGTCTGAATTACCTGTGAAACTTTCTCTCAATAATGAGTCCTTTCGGAGGACGTAACTACAAAAAAACGTATCTGTGACACTTTGTTTTGTCACGGAATGCTATTCAAAAAAGGTCTAGAGCCAATGGAGTTTGGCAAGGCAAAATCAAACGGTTTTGGTGTTTTTATATCAATTTAAACAGCGATGTATGAACAGGTAATGCATATGATCGCCCAAAACGTGCAACAATACCGAGCCTGAAATGTTTCCGTGGCAAAACAACGTATCTGTAATTATCACTAATAACTTTGCAATAAACAAATGGTTGTAATTAAAATTTTAAATATAATCACAATGTCTATAGATATACAATCCTGCAAAATTTTAAAAGGCTACGACAATTTATTGCGAAGTTACGAACATGCAAAGTTTAACCATATTTTTCTCCAAAAGTGAAAATTTAAAGTTACGTTGTTTTGCCACTGAACGGCCGAGATGAAGGGTCTAGAACACTTCAGTCCCACCATAGTTGGGGCTAAGGTAAGACAATTTATGATTATGGCACCTGGGCAGGGGAGGGTGGGGGGCCGGGCCGGCTCCCCTTGAATCCTCCACTAATATTAGTACTTGGCCTCACCTTGATGTTGAATCTGGCAACCTTATAACAAGATCTCCATGAGGTTTAGGAGCGTACTGAACATCTTGCGGTATAATCTTGCCAATACTCAACTGATAATTGAAATATTGAACAGATTATAGAAAGTGATTAAAATTTACAGTTTGCATGTCATGAATTATATTAAATGTTAATTTAGTGGCCAGATCATTTACTTGTAAGAGACCTGGAATAGTTAAATGTTTACTAAAAAGTAGTTGATGGTCTTGTAATCAAATTCAGACAAAGTTTTTTTTTTCAAAAAAAAAAACATTTACTATCTTTACTGAATCATCAAAATTTGGAAATTTTCCCAAGATAGTTCAATAGGCTACTAAGTAAATAACCTGAAAGCCAGTTAAATATGAAGGAAATTTACTTAGTGATATCTTAGACTAAAGCTACATTCACACTAGACACAATAACGACACGACACAATAAAAATTTGCTCAGTGTTGAAATATATAAACGATGCGATGATATGTCATTGTTGTGTCATTTATCGTGTCTAGTGTAAATGCAGCTTTATATAGCGCTTCACGGCAGCAAGGCCTCTAAGCACTTCACAATATTACCCACAGTCACGGAAGCAAGCACAAATAAAACACATACTTAGCTCCCTGGTGAGAATTTCTTAACTTTGCAGCTGTAATCAATGAATTTTGTGTTTGAACGTGCCAGGTATCCATTTGCACTCCTATCCTGGGTTTTGCAAGAGACAACAGTAGGCAAAGTGCACAACTGTAGGTAAAGTGCTTTGCCCAAGAACGAAATCATTTGAAAGCGAAATGCATAGCAATTCAACCTCCGACCTCAAGGTTGAGAAGCAGAACCGTGACTGATGCACGCTCCTACATATCCAACTTATTATAGTTTTGCAGTTTTCTCAGTGTTCAATATTGAGAATCAAATCTATAATTACAATCAGAAATTAGTTTTGCAGTTTATAATAATATCTATAGTGTTTCAGATTTATATGGCATAGCATTTCCAGTGCGTATAGCCACTAGAAAAACAAAGGGCTTAATTCATGATTTAATGTTGCAAAAAATTATATTTTTTGCAACAAATTATATTTTTTAGAAGTTTAAGGGAAAGCAAACCTACTAACTGTATAATACTGTATATTTTGATGTTTGTTTTTCGTTTTTACCCAAAATTCTTTTTGTTTCAATTTTGCTTGTTTGTGAAGCATTGACTCTGTGTGTCTTCTTGTGTTTTTCCTTCTGTTTTCTTTTCTCAATTTAATGATTTTTAAGAATTTTAATTGACAATTTCACTTACGTTTTCTTTTTAATTGTTCTATGTCTTTTTCTCAATTTAATTGTCGCAATAATTATCATATTACATTTTTATATTGATTTTCCACTTTTTATGTATTTTTATATTTTTAATAATTGTTGCAATAATAATTGTTATAATTTTACATAAATTTTTGAATATTGATATTAATGTATTTTTCCTTTGAATGTTTTTGTATTTGTCTTTTTTAAATTGTAATACAAACCATTTCAACCTTGGCTGCTGTTTGTAATTTCATGTTCTTTTATACCAAATAAATAAAAAAAATAAAAAAATATAAAAAATAATATAGGTTTAAATTATATCAAATTAAATCTAAAATTGAATAGAAACAAACCTGTATTAGTTTCTTCACTGGTGTTTGATCCTACAAATAAAAATACAATAAAGTATTTAGTTGGAAAAGTTCAGAGATAATAACAATAACATGATTATAATAACAATAACAATGACAATCATTAATTTAATAATGATTGATGTTGATTTTGATGATGATGACAATTTTTTGATGATGAACATGATGATAGTGCATAATATGATTAAGATCAGATGATGATGATGGTAATGTTGATAATTTTGATAATGATGAATAATGATGATGGTGCTTATAATAATGATGATAATGACGTTGATGATGTTGATTGATGATATCTAATTGATATTGATGATGATGATATTGTAGCAGTGTGTACTACCATCTGTAAATTTGTATATAGGATCTGTGTGTAAATAACACCTTGCATTTTTAACTAATATCCCAAGTTCATGGGTTATACACCAAGCTTAGGAAGGTCATTTACCTTAAGGTCATTTGCCTTAGGCTATGTTCACACACACGGCGTAAGGCTGGCTTAAGGATGGCGTAGCGTACGCATTTGTGTGTGAACTAAGCAGTGGCGTTGTTAAAGCCACTCACTACGCCACGTCCTTGGCGTTATTAACGCTACCTGCAGAC